TCTCTGGGGAAGTTGGAGGGACCCGAGGTCTGGGGCGGGGAGTCAGCAGTGTTTCCTGCAGAACCCTGGAGCCCTCGCTCATAATTTGGTACCCTACAGAGCGCAAGTGTCACCACCAAATCCTCCTTCCCCTGCATCACCTCTCCAGCCCCCCATCTTCTAGCCTTTCTGCAGACCCCAAGCTGGTGCCCTCACTGCTGGTTCAGTCAGCACACAGATAAGTGCTAAATACTTTCTTCCAGGGGAAATCATCGGAGGCCAAGAGGCAAGGCCCCATTCCCACCCCTATATGGCATTTCTTCAAATCCAATCACCAGGGACCACTTGTGGGGGGTTCCTGGTGCGAGAAGACTTTGTGATGACAGCAGCTCACTGCTGGGGAAGGTGAGAAACTAAGGAGCTTCCAGGTGACCAGTAAGACAGGCCCATAAAATTCATGAGAGCAAACACCTGAAAGCAGAGTTCTAGCAATGAAGGTATGAAAAGACTGGGTATGTCTTGGGGGGCGGGGAACAGGCCAGTGTAAATGAGGACAAAAAGAGGAGATGGAAAGCATGCATTGGGGTTCAAAATACAAGCTATTCTCAATTTATTCTAGAGGAGGCAAATCTTAAGGTCACTGTGTCCCCCATCATGCACAGCTCAGGGCTTTGGAGAAGCAGAGACACAGAGAGCTCAGTCCCAGAGCCCTCCTGTCCCCTCACTTCCCTCAGCTACAGTCCTGATGTCCTGGGCTGTCTACCCGCCCTGCAGAGCTGGTGGACCTTAGCGCCTAAGGATCACACCTACCACTAGGCCACTATTTTTTTTGCAGCCGTATTCGCGTCATTCTGGGGGCCCACAACATCAGGAGGGAGGAAAGGACCCAGCAGCGCCTGTCTGTGCTCAGAGCCATCCGCCATCCTCAATATGATCCGCAAAACTATCTGAATGACATCATGTTACTGCAGGTATCACCTGCCTGACTCTCTGGTTCTCCAACTGAGCTGGCTCCCTCCCAGCTTGGGGACTTCACTTTGTCCCTGGGACCATGGAGGAGGAAGCCAGGCGGAGTCCCAAGGGGTAGTGGGGGTGTGGTGTGAGTGCTGCAGAGACAGTCCCTGAGTGCCAGTTCTCTTTATGCCAGCTGGAAAATAATGCCAGACAGAATCGATTCGTGAGGCCAGTGGCCCTGCCTCAGACACAGGCCAGGCTGAATCCTGGGACCTCGTGCACTGTGGCTGGATGGGGCCTGGTTAGCCTGAAGGGAAGAACAGACACACTCCGAGACGTGCGCCTGAAAGTGCAGAGGGATCAGGAGTGCAGCAGACGCTTCAGGGCCTACACTGGCCAAACGGAGATTTGTGTGGGGGACCGGAGAGAGAAGAAATCTGCTTTCATGGTAAGACCACAGGCATCTGCCAGCACTACCCCAGACATAGGAGCCGGGGCAAAACTGGGCAGTGGGATAGCCTGCATCTTACGGCCTCAGTCTGGAGGCCTGACCAGACTATGGTGGGGGCTTTTTCCCATCAATCTAGTCTCTGGTGGAATGAGAGGAGCAGCAGACACACAATGCATACATATGCAGTGTTTTCCCTTGAAAGATTAAGGTACCTTGACTTGGGCTGAGCTAGAGACAGTAACCATAGCCAAGTTAGAAACCGAATAATGGAAAGATCCAGAAGCTGACTTCCGCACCACAACCACCCTCTCATCTCATACACACGCGGCAATTGAGGAATCGCACCCACCCTGCAG